CTGAAAAAGCTAACCTAAACCTAACCTAAAAACTTAACTTACTAGGCTTGTGTTGTAAATTGAAACCTCCACGCGAGCTAAACTGTGTTCTCTATGCACGCCAGACAAGGAAGGACGCTATCCCGAGAGCAAGCGAACACTGCGTCAGCCACGTTTTCGCAAGCGCTCGATCTGTCGCGTCCCTTTTGAGAAAAAAAAAAGTGCGGCTTGGCCGGTTTCATGCTGACCACACAGCACGCGACGATTTTCAGATGCGAAATAGAAACGCCGACTGAAACTCTGGCGCCCCGTAAAGGGATACTGGAGGCCAAGAGATGGCGTTATCACGGCGTCCCACATCCTTCAGTTTCGCATTACGCTCAAAAAAGTTTTAATAAACATTTCCCGCCAACCGCTACTTGGACGCCGGAGCAAGACGTGCGGTGCAGGTTCCTTTGAGGTCGCGCTCCAGACACCAGATGCCTGCTTTTGGCCGCTGCGAGTTTGATGACGTCGGCATAGCTCGGTGACACCTGATTGTTAAAAGGTTCGTTATTTCGCAGAGATGTCTTGGTTACTGCTGTTGTGTAAATGACACTGAAACACTGGCATCTTAGCTGTCGAGACACTAAATAGCTAGGATAAGTCACGTGCTTACACCTCTCAGTGGCGAGCGCGGAAGAACTGCCAATTCGTGGAGATACTAAACGTTTCTTCGTTGCTTTTAAACCTTTACGAGATACAAAACTGTAACTTTTCAACGACTAAAATTTTATATTGAAAACTTTTAAATAATACGTAGTTTCTTTGGGAAACAATCAACGTTAAGGCGTTCAACCCTCTTTAAACTGCCAATGAATGAAACATAAATATGCAATTTTATTGGTGCTACATACTTCATTAGCGTTTACAAGCTGCCTTATTGCCCTGCGATAATCTCCAATGGTTAATTAAGTAATATTTTCTCAGCCACACAGCTTTAACGCGCTTCATTTTTCTCGCCAGCACGTTGTTTTTTCTTTTTTTTTTTGCACACTGGCCTACCTTGCTACTCTTTGCCGCCATATTAAACAATGCTCTATGCGGCATAGCTGTATGCTTGTCTTAATACGTACCCTAACACACTCTCTATTTGTCTCATTATTGGTCTTCGATTATGTCCACGACCCTGGACATTGGGTTGCATTTTACATTAGGCAACCACCTCGTATATCAGTGTTTTAATAACTCAAAAAATTTTTCAGCGTATTTATTTCTTGTCATTCGGAAACATGAACTGCTTACATCAATCGCGGTTGTCCTAATCCTAATTAGACTCGCCTTGCTGGACCTATTGTACATTATGATCGGAATAGCGAATGACATATACGTTATCGCAGTCGTTCAAGTTGCCCACAATTTAATGAGTTAGCCAAATTGTCGTAAGATTGAGGCTCTCGTTTAGCGCTCAAACGTACAAGTTAGAGCTCTTTCGACCTGCATCATAAAATAAGTCTGCACATTTCATTAGCTATTAACAGCCGCTAATAGCTGTTGGCTACAATGGCAAAGTTGCAAATGTTGTTCTCTGCGTTGATAAACAAAACCATGCTGCTCGCATGCATGCACCTTTATTGCGCGTGTGCTCAACTAATTCGTGGTTGTTTTGTACATATATCCTTTGATTGTGTTTCTGGCACATTTTCAGACTTGGTCATTTATAAAAAAAGCGGTAGGCCTATTATGAGGAAAATAAGTTCGTGCAACACAGACGACTCTGCAGACTTGGTGCTGAACGGTCGATATAGCGGGGCAAACTATAGTGCACGGATAGCTACATCTCAGTGCGAGGAAAGTGTCACCGTATAGAACAAATAAATACTAAAGTGGCTATATATTATGCGGAATATGTGGGAATGGAGCAGCGAGAACATGGCGCTCGCGTCTGTGAGAAGGCATTACGTACATTCCAATAAATTGCGAGGCATTTATACGAGCTTTTCAGCAGATTTTCTGAAAGCGGTAGATTGAAGTATACGTATATTTTGGCAATTAATTCAATCGTACATCTGCTGAACAGACCACGTGACTTCGCAGAAAAAAAACTGGCTATTCCATAGCCATTTTTGTGAGCTGTGCGCGCTTCTTGCATGTGCTTGCATGTGCATACAAGCAACATGCACAGAATTCTGAAATCCTGGCATTATAATACTTATAAAGCCCTTTCGAACGTGCGTATACCACCCCAAGTCCTACTTTGAACATTGGATCGGAACAACATGCTTTGACATATATATATTTTTGTTCTTATTGTTTTCCTAAATTTATTAGCGTTAACTCTAATTGGCTGCCGTGAATTTGAAATACCAGCTAGTTATAATAATGACCACACTGTCTCTGTTATCTTATGTGTAGAGGATTCTCCTTTAGGTGCGCTTTACCAGCGGCATCGTGCCACTCAAGAAGGGCTAAGGGAGTTGAGCTATTGAGCCCAGTAGCCGTGATAAGCTCCACAATCGTCAACAGTCACGACATGCACCAGCACTTACGACTTGGAACTTGTCGAGCGTGTGAAAGTGCGGGCTGAGCCCGCTTGTATACAATAACGTGCGAGGTCCTTTGCTCGCACGTTAGCACAAAGACGCAAAATGTATAAGCACGGTGACTACAGCGAATCCGACGCAGCGCCCGCGCGAAATCTCTAGGCATATTGGCCTGTAATGCTAACAGGCTCTTTCCTTTTCGTCCATTAGATTTAATTCTCCAGAACGTGCTCGCATAATTGAGCAAGATTATGTTGTTTGCGCTTGCCTATTCGTCGCATAACAGCTATATACCCGCCGCCACCGACCATCATGCGCCCAGCCATGGCGGCGTACAGCAGGGTCGCCAAGGCTCTATGTACAATTTCTTTGTAGGGTCTGTCCATGGAAAGTACAGCTCTCGTATACTCTCTTCTGAAGGAACGGCATGACAGGTAAAGTGTCGGGAAACTAGCAGTTCGCAGTGATCCCTTCCGAGACGCCTTCCTCTCAAGTGCGGCGTTATTGGTTTGTATACGTGCCACGTGCAGGATGTGAGCTTCCTCTTGCGAGCTATCTGGAATTCTCCTTGAATTTTTATAAAAAGTATGCCTATATATCAAGCGACGTTATAGGATTGGTCGGAAAAGGTCCACGCAAAATTCAGCTGTCACGATGTGTAGCATTTCGGCAGCTAAAGACGGCGAGTATACAACTGACGACTTGGCGGAAAGGACGATCTCACGGCAGCTTGCAAATTTCACTGAGACTCAATGATGTGCCGTACTGTTCGTTTCCAGGGCACGCCATTGTACTGGGTGGCTACAGGAGAAATTGGGAAGGCTATGACCCTATCGCATTCTGGTTTCACGTGGCCAATCTGTCATAATCCAGTTATTACAAAGGTCCAGCGCATTTATGGGTTAAATCGACTATCTCCGCGTAAACTGCTGCCCCTTTGTCACACATTTAGTCAATGTGTGCCTGCGTTAATGCAGCTTCTTCATACCGAACAGTTATGTAGGCATTGCGCGTGAAATACTTTTCTCACTGATTCTAGAGTCCACCTGATTCGTGTATCACAGCAAAGGACAGCAAGGAAAAACAGATGAGTTCATACTCATGTACTAACTAAACCGCAACGCATGAAAGCAATCGTCTCTTCTGGAAACACCCTTCCAAGGTATAACCTTACCAAGCGGGATCGCACATTTGCACACACACGACTTGAGAGGCTTATTCGTACGCCAAAACACCACTTCAATTATTATGAAAGCCACTGGATGGCAACATATTTCAGTGCTAGAGACTTTCAGAAGTTCATGCTAGCTGACAGACATAGGCTTGCGATGCATTGCTTTGTGGTAAAGATGACACAATAAACCAGCTGATTTTTGCAACGCTGCCACTGCCCTGATGGGGGAAAACCCTTACACACAATTATGTGCTTGGGATTAGCGTACTGAGGCAACTCTGAAAAGAATGTGACAACATTATTTCCTCAGCTTCAATACTGTTTTTTTTTATTTTTTTCTGTAGTTAGACTTACCCTCAACTTTCTCCCGTAATATCAAGTAAAGGAGCACTGCACTCGAACAAAGTCAAATATTTTAGGCGAAAGAAGATTCAGCTAAAAAAAAACGCGTTGAAGAGAACCCGATGCTTTTCGTCAACAGCATGAGGTTTGTAACCAAGCACCATGCCCTGATCAACAAACTAAACGACTGGCTTCACCTGCATCAAATGCAAGCGTTACTGCATGAACAGAAACGACCACACAAAGTACTTCGTCGTGCCCAGCGGCTGTACATAACTGCCCGAGTTCATATCCAGTGGCCATAAGATTCTCTGTTCATCAAGGAAAATGAACAGACAATTCCATGGCGCCGAGCTAAGATTAGGCAACGTGGGTGAGAGGCACGAAAAGGTAAGGTGAGGGGGTCAAATTGGCGCGCTGTTTGGTACGACGCGCACGAGGCATGGCCCTCGACTTAGCGTGTGACACCGGGGGGCATCTGGCCACCAAGCGAGGACGCGCGCCTTACACGGCCTCTTCTTTTCGCGCAACGCTTTCCTGCTGTCGTAGTTGTTTCTCGGCCCCGACTGAGAAGGAAACACGTTTCGCGCGAGGCGTTTTTTTTTTTTTTGCTTCCTCCGCCCTTGGTCGGCGAGCATGTGCCCCCTCGCCCGACCAAGAAGCTGTTTCCTGTCCCTACAGCGGCCTCCGATTAATCTAGCGAGATGCAAGACGCGGGTTCCTTTCGCAACGGTTTTTCCCTCCCTCGGTCGCCTTGAAGCGTGCTTCACCGCGCGGCGTCGCTAGGCCTAGCAGCGCGGCGTCGCTCGGCCTCGTGCGCATTTTTGGCGCGGTCCGTGCTTTGGCAGCGGGACAGGAACGGCGAGCCATGCTCGTGATTCCTGCGGCCCTCCGACTTGCCAGTCAGCATAGTGCCGAAGCGAAAAATCGCTTCGGTGCACCCGTGCCATGCAGCCAAGTACGATGCAAGTAAGGTGACTCACCGTGGTGTCGACATCGCTGGCGTCCAGCGCTGACGTGGTGCGATGAATGGGTTGCATTCCATCGCGAGCATGGTATGAAGTTCCTACCTGGGTTCGACTCACAGTAAGAACTCCATACCTCGCTCGCGATAAAGCAACGCCCTTGCAGGGAAGCCGTCCAGGCGTCTAGCGTAGCTGGGATAGTTGTCATCATCAACCCGGACAGTATCCTCTTCGGCGCCGACAGGGGGGAAAAAAGCATCCGAGCACGGACACTTCTCGAGAGCCGACTGTTTTCCGCGAGGTGCCATGCGTGAGGCAGACGACCACGATGACGACGCTAGCGCCCGTAGCGCCGCGTCACGAGCGTCGGGAGCGGGAGGTTGAGCGCTTGCTGCGCGGACTGCGGCGTCAACACTGACGTAACGCGCCGCCGGGACTGTTGGGTCGTTAGGGCGGCCGCCGGCACGCCCTCTGGTTGCCACACGCGCCCAATGGCTGCCTCCGTCGAGTCGACGTCACGCGCCCCCTTGCCCCTTCATGGGACAAACGCGGGGAGAAGCAAAGGGTTGCCAACCTGTGCGCGGTTCGACTGCGAGGGAAACTCATTGAAATTCCGGCGCCGTCCGCAGATCGCCCCCTCGAGCGCCGCTTTTCGGTGTCGCCTGTCGTCCCCGCCGCGCCAATGGGGCTCCGGGGCCTCTTTGTGCCGCTTCCTGTCCGGCGCGCTCACCTGCCTCGTTCCACGCGGCTCTACCAACGGCCGGTCGCACTATATTTCCCAACAATGGCAGCGGGGACGATTTAGTTTTCCACTGTAAGCACTTTTTACGCGCATATCCCTCCTCCCCTCGTTGTATCGTTCTCTTTCTGACGCGGTGCTAACTTCGAATGCAGCGCGGGAATCTTAGAAATCTGGTGAGATCCAGCAATGTTGGGAGGGTCAGAAATACCCATTGTTTCCTGTAAGTGACGCATGTGTGGGAACGTCCTTGTTCGTAATAACGGAAGCAAAACTGTCGCTGGGACGTGATAACGCTTCCTCCTCTCAAATAATTCTATCGTATATGACTCATGAGACCACAAGTTATGAACAATTTATTCGGCACGCACGTGCGTTTCACAGATTAATCCATATAACAAATATTGCGCAAGTTATTTCACTTTATTTGCCGCATTTTTACCAATGAAAATTATCCAGCGAGTTTCAGCCTGAATGGTAACCCCGCGATCAAGAGTACTTGACGAAGCGTAGGTTGGAGGAGGGTTGTACTCACACCTCTTAGGCGAATGCGAATCCTTCCCGCGATATGAGCTCAAACATTTCCCGTACATAGTTGTGTGCAATGAGCGGTCACGTTTATCTTTTGATCTATGTTAAACGGAATGAGGCGTCACATGTGATGCAAAGAAAGTTGTCACAGTGAATACATTTTTCACTAATTTGTCGGAGCTGAATCTATAGTCAATTCATTAGGGTCTGGTGAAATATGTATATGCTATTAAGTACTGAGTAGTATATTTTTGCGTACTATAACTTCATGCAGCCTTATATGGTTTATACATTGCTGCACCCAATGTTTGCAGCACCAGCCATATAAGTTAGGCCAACAGATGTGACCACTCACGAAGTGCAATGGTCGCTGTTTTTAGCAGACATGGCAGGTGAACTTGACTGACAAATATAGTGGAAGTTATACAATATAGTGCATAAACTCCTAAACAACTATGAGTTCGTTGTATCCGGTATATGCAGCGCTTGTGAACAGCAGCACAAGTTTTCTTACGTTTTGTCCCCAACTGTTCAAGTGATATCTTTCTCGGACTTTAAAATGACAGCTGTGGCAAGGTGTGCCGACTTCTTCATGCGCCCGCGCATATATAGAGAACAGAGGAAAAATCTAAGAATAAGAACACGAAGAATAATTGCGAAGGCACCCACCTCCATCATCGTGTTCTTGTAGAACTTAGGTCAAAGCCACCGAATGTTGCACAGTCAAGAAGGCTGTGTGAATCATCACCGTAGGCTTCAGGGTCGGGATGTGTCAGTGTCGAGCCGCTATTGGAGCTTGCATGCCCCTTTTAAAGAGAGATAAAGAAAAAAAAAGCTGGGGTTTAATGCGCATTTTCCGCCTAACGATTTTTGACTTTGCGGTCTCGCACGATCCCCGTGTTTTTTTTTTATAAAATGGCTTCGTTTACTGGTTGCTAACAGTAGCCTGTATATTACCAAAGCAGCTTTTATCTACTTACACCACGTGGCCACATCTTCTTCCTATTCACACCACTTCAATGTCCGAGGCCCGCACATTTGTACATTGTGCTTTCCGCTGTCACATGATGTCGCATAGCCATTTTGGTAGCGCGGACGCATGACTGTATGTACACATTAATAAAATCATTTTGGCAAACGACATACATTCAAAATATTTAGCGGAGCTCTATATACCACCTATGGACACGCATTGTATACCCGACGCTTCCGGTGTGGCGTAGCAAAAAAACAAAACAAAAAAACACGGGGTCTCAGTCGACTCGAAGGCGAGAACCATCCTTTTATTCTTCTTCTCGGTCGGTTTCTTGATCCTGCCCGGCAGCCACCAAAAGCTTTCCGCACCTAACCTGGTATAAACCAGTGCCTCCAAGATCGGAGGCATTGTAAGCATTCTGCACGCCACGCCGTTTAGCACTGCCTCCGGGATTAGCTCATGTTCGACCAAACTAACGAGGTCAAGTAATGACGTCACGAAAATTGATGATCTGTGAATTCAGATGGCGTCATATGTTGAACTCATCGTGGGATGGCGATTTTTTTTTTTTTTTGCATCACTAGTTTTGACGCTGCCGACGGGGAACACCGCTCAAATTTCTGGTTTGATGACGCATATAAGGCTTTCACCTTAAACCACACGAGCAACAGCCACGACTGTTCGACAAGGTTGGTGTATTTTTAACCGGATGTGAAGGGATATTGCTCAGGGAAAAAAGTTATACAAAGAGAAAAACCGCCAGAATAAAATAACGAAGAATATACAAGAAGCAGAGTAAGCGTGAGATTTGGTCGTATCGGATACGCTGCTCTGACGCGTGCAGAGCGAAATTTGTGTCCAGAGTAGTGAAGATTAGGACTACCAGAGTAAATTTAGAAATTACACCCACCTGCCTACGATAGCTTATACCGATAGCATCCCTAACCAGGCGAAAGGCCATGGTACGAAGAACTTTCATCAGACTCTGACGAGATATAGTTATATCCATCCATGAGATATGTATGCCTTCTACTTTAGTGTGGGCGAAAGCAGTCGTGGAAATTTAGCGATTACATGAGCCGTCGTGAGTTCAACGACAAGAGGCGCGTTCGTCGTCTTGTTTCGCTGATCCCTTCCAGAAGGCGCAGATCCTTTTCTTACACGAGCCCCTTTATTACGTCATCTCTCTCTCTGCGGCCGAGTGGTGCTCCGCTGCCTCCTTCAGGTGCAGTGCTGCCAGGCTGGCCCGGAAAAGGCCACAAAGGGTGCGCCACGCATGCTCCAGAAGCCAAGCCGACCGTGGCCGTGGGAACGCAGATCTCCTCCACTCGCGCCCCTCGCAGCGATGGTGCTGCTCACGACTGCCCAGCTCTTGATGCTGGCTCCGTTTGGGTCGCCTAACTACACGCTTCGTTGCCTGCTTCGACGCGAAGTAGACCTTTCATCCCTTTACGCAACACCACTCACTGCATTTCCTCCTCGCTCGAAAGCTTATGTCGGAGATTCGCACCTCATACTTGGCTCCGTTTACGTGTTCCTGATGCCTGCTGGTCTTTTTGTTTTCTATCGCACCCGAAAGCGTCTTTACTTATCTTCATTGTAAAAGTGTTGTTTATTTGCAAATATTCCTGTGTCATCAAATATGCTTTTTTCTTTTTTTTTCATCTGTTTTATTGAGTTTCGATCACAATGGGCTTCTTTAGTGATATGTGTTCAAAATCAGGGGAATGGATCTCTCATTTATGTTTAAGGTCCTTCAGTTACGTGATACCAATGCCCGTGGTTCATGGCGATGCCGAAAATCAGGAAACGTTGCTTATATAGGATATCGGAAATATTCTTGTAATCATTATTTTTTTAGTATATCACACAAGAGGTTTTTTTTTTTTTTTGTCTTCGCGTTTTTCCCCGCGTATAGTGCGTCTTCAGTTCTTGCGTTGTCGTGATGGCAGTTTCATCTTTTCGCTTTTCATTCTCGGAGGCGAAACCATTATACTCCTTTCCATTGAACCGAGCAAGAGGTGTTCAGAAAAAAAGATTACGACAGGAAAAGAAAGAGGGGCGGGGGGGGGGGGCTTTTTATAGACGCCCAAAAAGCCGTTGTATGCACGGGCTCAGACCAAGGTTAAGGTCTAGGCGTCTTGAAGGAGAAGGCAGATCGGCTTTCTTTGTTCCGCCGTCTCTTCGACCCGCGCTCTTCTTTTCAAGACAGCGCCCAGTGTTTACCCTTACCTGCTTTACGCCCGTGTTCCTGATTTCCTTCTTGCTTTCTTCTCGAGAAGGGGATGTCGGGCGATCCCCGGCTGGGAAAGGGTTGGGATCTCGGGCGCGGTGCTGTATAGCGCCGAGTCGACAGCGTGTTGCATCACCACCACCTGCCCCCGTCTACTAGCTCGACGGCGGCACGAATTTGAGGGGAGCACATCCTCCCGCCAGCGTGGTTATGCGTCCCCTCCTGTTTTTCCCCCAAGCTTAGCGTTGCTGCGCGATCCCCTCCGCTGCCTGCCGAGGGCGCAAGAAAGCATTGAGGCGACCTATTCCGCCTCCTTAGTCCTCACCAGCCCTCAGAAAACCTCCTTTGATGAGAAAGGAGGAAGGTGGTCCTTGGAAGCCTTTCTCTCTTCCGGGGGTTGGGGGGCAGCTATAGAGGGGAGACATACTGCATACATGCTGCGAGAGCCAAGGTGCCTGTTGTTTGTGTCGCTTCTTGCGTGTGTTCCTTGTGTAAATCACATACGCGAATACATATATTTTTTGTTTGCTTTTCTTACTTCGCGCCGTACATTCGGGGTCGTTTTCTGAAGCCCTTTAGATCGAGCGCGCCGATTGTGCGTCGGTGCACACGAATGCTGTTCCTGACGGCGTGCTCTGCGCACATCGCGGAGTAACGACGCAGCATCGTCACTGCGACGGGGCACGAAGCAGTATAGGCAAAGTGGTGGGGGGTGAAGAAGAAGGGTGCGCATCAGATGCGGGTGCATTCGCTTATGCGCACGTTACATAACGTCTCCTGTATTTGGGTTTATCTTCGTATGTTTGTAAGCTTAGAGCGTATACGCCACGGGGGAACGTCAGGTTCCGGGAGCTATGGAAGCACAAAGGATTGAAGGGCACCTCTATTTTTTTTTCTTCTCATGCGTCCATCCTTCTCTCT